TTTTTTCGGTAAAGTCACGTAGGGAAAAAGTAATAAAAATAAATTCATAATAAATGAAAATAACTCAATTAAATCACGACGTCTTTATAATATCATTTTATGTAGATATCCACATTTATTTAATATTTTTCTTCTGCAGTTTTTATTGAAAATGCAATATTTGATATCTCAAAAACCTGATGTGATAGACAAAAACTGATGCCAGATTTGGAATCAGCATCCCAAAATTACCTTAAAACCGTTGGAATACCTTATGCCAGAAAAAGTGTGTTGACCAGTTTTATCAAAATTCATGGTTAAATAATGGAAGCCAGCAACAAGACACAGATAATCTCAATGGGGCATGGTTAAATAAAGGAAGCCATCCACAATAAACAGTGGATATAGCATATGAAAGCCCAACGCAATGAATTTGAGAACGCGGATAAACCATCTCTTGTTTATTTCTGTGCAAAACTTTCCACAAACACAACATGCGCAAATCTAAATCTAAAAACACCAAACTAACGCCCCCCCCCCCCCCGCACCTTCCCGGCTAAATGCAGCAACCAACCTTCAAACACCGTTGTCAACCTGTGAACTCTGAAAGGGCATCAATCCCCAGAAAAATATTTTTCAAAGTCAAATCTCTCTCACCCCCTCTCTCCCCGTCTCTCCCCGACGAAAGGAAACGCCATCGCGAACGCGTCACCGTTCAGCGGCGACAACGTCCGCGTGCCGACGTTGGGCCGACGTTGGGCCGACGTTCAATCGCAACCGCGTGCCAAAGTTGGACCAACGTTGAACTGACGTTCAGTCGCAACCGCGTGCCAAAGTTGGACCGACGTTGAACTGACGTTCAGTCACAACCTCGTGCCAAAGTTGGACCGACGTTGAACTGACGTTCAGTCGCAACCGCGTGCCAAAGTTGGACCGACGTTGAACTGACGTTCAGTCGCAACCGCGTGCCAAAGTTGGACCGACGTTGAACTGACGTTCAATCGCAACCGCGTGCCAAAGTTGGACCGACGTTGAACTGACGTTCAGTCGCAACCGCGTGCCAAAGTTGGACCGACGTTGAACTGACTGACGTTCAGTCGCAACCGCGTGCCAAAGTTGGACCGACGTTGAACTGACGTTCAATCGCAACCGCGTGCCAAAGTTGGACCGACGTTGAACTGACGTTCAGTCACAACCACGTGCCAAAGTTGGACCGACGTTGAACTGACGTTCAGTCACAACCGCGTGGCGACGTTGGACCGACGTTGAACTGACGTTCAATCGCAACCGCGTGCCAAAGTTGGACCGACGTTGAACTGACGTTCAGTCGCAACCGCGTGCCAAAGTTGGACCGACGTTGAACTAACGTTCACTCACAACCGCGTGCCAAAGTTGGACCGACGTTGAACTGACGTTCAGTTGCAACCGCGTGCCAAAGTTGGATCGACGTTGAACTGACGTTCAGTCGCAACCTCGTGCCAAAGTTGGACCGACGTTGAACTGACGTTCAGTCGCAACCGCGTGCCAAAGTTGGACCGACGTCGAACTGACGTTCAGTCGCAACCGCGTGCCAAAGTTGGACCGACGTTTTTGTCGAGAAGTGTTGTTTGATTTTTTTTATTACACGCTTTTATGTAACTCACTCTGTCTGTTGTTGTTGTCGTATCTTCAAATCTTGTAACTCCATTTTAACCCACTTCCCAATGTGGCATCGACTGCAAATTTGGTATACTTATGTCATACTGATGACAGTACTATATTCTATCATAAAAATGTAAAAAAACATTTTTTTACATGTTTTACATGTTATGTTTCGGCTTGGGTCTAATTGTCAACGCTCAACTGACGTTGGATGTACATCACCACGGCCCCCTTACGTTGTGGCAAGCTTCGGGGCCACCTCCTGGAGTCGTGGAGTTCTGCCATTACTGGTACATTTCATAAAAGCGTGTTTTTTTAAATTATACTCTTAGATTTTTTTCGGTAAAGTCACGTAGGGAAAAATAATAAAAATAAAATAATAATAAATGAAAATAAATCAATTAATTTTCGATTTAAAGCTTTCGTGACTGCAGGGATTCATCTTCTTGAAGATAAATCAATTAAATCACGACGTTTCGGAGGCAACACAAGTCTCCGTCTTCAGGTGGGACCGTCACAGCTGTTGCCTCCGAAACGTCGTGATTTAATTGATTTATTTTCATTTATTATTATTTTATTTTCATTATTTTCTACCTACGTGACTTTACCGAAAAAAAACCTAAGAGTATGAAATCCTTGCAGTCACGAAAGCTTCAAATCTAGAATTTTTAAAATTATTTTTAAATATTACTTTTTACTAAAACACATCCCATCGGCCGTCGACGGTTCCGTTTGCGCTTTGCGGCGATTGAAAATCTCGCCGAACTTGTGACTTTCCCGCGATTCGACGATTCGCAACGACGCTCCGTTTCTTTTTCTTGGCGAGAGGGATCATGAAATTACCGACGCAATCGGGACCCGGAAAGGATCGGATTGTGAATCGTAACAGTGATCGCGAACGCAAAACGGATATAAATATGTGCGTGTAATTCATCCACGATTACTATCTAAACGGGTTTTTATTTTTTCCCCCCTCCCCCCCCAAGCGGTTTAACCTTCATACCGTGTCAACCCATCCCGTTCACCCCGTATTCTTGTACGGGGGAAATTTTCCTTTTAGATTCATACGGTGTACAGCCGTTTCAATGCGAGTATATTGTTATTGGGTATTTGTTTGTGTTGCTCCCTTGCGATCGGACTTTGTAGGGTGAATGTTGAAGATTCATCAGGTCACGGAGTGGTCTGTAATGAGGGAGGGTTGACAGGTATGGTCGTGAACCACTGGTACAGAGACACTGGCAGTGAGACACTGGTGGTGAGACACTGGGTAGTGAGACACTGGGTGGTGAGACACTGGGTTGTGAGACACTGGGTAGTGAAACACTGGGTAGTGAGACACTGGGTAGTGAGACACTGGGTAGAGAGACACTGGGTGGTGAGACACTGGGTAGTGATACACTGGGTAGAGAGACACTGGGTGGTGAGACACTGGGTGGTGAGACACTGGGTTGTGATACACTGCTAGTGAGACACTGGGTGGTGAGACACTGGGTAGTGAGACACTGGTAGTGAGACACTGGGTAGTGAAACACTGGTGGTGAGACACAGATGGTGAGACACTGGGTAGTGAGACACTGGGTAGTGAGACACTGGGTAGTGAGACACTGGGTAGTGAGACACTGGGTAGTGAAACACTGGGTAGTGAGACACTGGTAGTGAGACACTGGGTAGTGAGACACTGGGTAGTGAGACACTGGGTAGTGAGACACTGGGTAGTGAAACACTGGGTAGTGAGACACTGGTAGTGAGACACTGGGTAGTGAAACACTGGTGGTGAGACACAGATGGTGAGACACTGGGTAGTGAGACACTGGGTAGTGAGACACTGGGTAGTGAGACACTGGGTAGTGAGACACTGGGTAGTGAAACACTGGGTAGTGAGACACTGGTAGTGAGACACTGGGTAGTGAGACACTGGGTAGTGAGACACTGGGTAGTGAGACACTGGGTAGTGAAACACTGGGTAGTGAGACACTGGTAGTGAGACACTGGGTAGTGAAACACTGGTGGTGAGACACAGATAGTGAGACACTGGTAGTGAGACACTGGGTAGTGAATAGCTGTCAACCCATACGATTTACGCCGTATTCTTGTAGAGGGGAAATTGAGTTTTCAGGTCTATACGGTGTGTTTCTCCCTTGCTGATGGAACTTTGTCGGATGAACATTGAGTTTATAAGTGGCACGGGATGACCAGTGAGGTCTGAATTGGTTTGTAATAAGGTAGGCACTGATCCGCTTGGAGATAAACGCCGACGTCAAAACCATTTCCGCAAAAATATTAAATCGTTCAAAAAAACCCCATTGTGGTCGTGGCGGGTTGAATACGAAATTTCGTGTAAAAGTATTACAAACTTCTAGGATTTCACGAAGCCCACACAACCAAATATCCCAACCTCCCTCCCTCCCATTCTATCCGCTCGAAAAAAATGACATTTCAAAGAAACCCACGTCCAACCAGACGCAGCGACGACACCGACAAAAACAACGACCGCCGTTCACCGCTAAGCGGCGGTGACGTCACCGCCGGCGCTTGTGCCGTCCCAGATGGTAACGTCGAAGGCTGCCGCCGGCCGGAGGTCACCGGACAGACCCAGGCGGTGCGATGGGTCGACCGGCATGAGATGACCGGCAAATGGACCACCGCCCGTGCTTTGTAAACTCGCTCCGTTTTATCCACCCGGCGCTCCGCTCGTTGTTGTGAGCGCCGTTGCTCAGCCCTCCGCTGCTGCTGGAGGCCTCAAAGTGCCCGACAGCCTCCTCCTCCTCCTCCACGGAGGGCGATCTTGACACCGCTGGTACCGGTCACCGGCAAGTCCGCTCAGCTCCACGTCCTCCCGTACCGCATCAGTTTCAATCTCTTCTCCAGCCCGTGCCGCGCCATTTAGCCCCCATCACCCACTCACGGCAGCAGGTCTACAGCCCTGGCGAGGGCCTTGACACTACCACCCTCAACGTTAACCACATTACCGTTTACCACACCACCGCACACCCCCTCCCCACCCACCACCACCACCCTACCCATCAACCAAACCACCCCTCACCCTCACCACACCACCGCACACCCCCCTCCCCCCTCGCCACCCACCCACCACCACCACCCTACCCATCAACCTCACCCCCACCACACCACCTCACACCCCCCTCCCCACCCACCACCACCCTACCCATCAACCACATCACCCCTCACCCTCACCACACCACCGCCCACCCCCCCCTCCCCACCCACCACCACCACACTACCCATCAACCACACTACCCCTCACCCTCACCACACCACCGCACACCCCCCTCCCCACCCACCACCACCACCACCACCCTACCCATAAACCAAACCACCCCTCACCCCCCCTCCCCACCACCACCACCAACCACCGCCACTCACACCGGCAGCCCCACGGCCCTGGCGAGCGCCTGGAAGCCAGCGGCCGACACCCAGAGGGCCTCGACGAGGCGAGCCTCCGCGCAGCCGACGGCGAATCCGCACAGCACGTCGGTGACGTAGTGGTGGCCCAGCGCGACGCGCAGCAGCCCCACCAGCAGCGCCCACAGCAGCAGCAGCACGCGCAGCGGGAAGCCCAGCACCAGGTGGCGCGGCAAGAAGAGCACCAGCAGGGCGGCGCGCGTCGCCTGGTTGGCGGGGAACGAGAAGGCCGAAGCCTCCAGGGCCCGGCGGAGCAGCGGCGGGAGCAGGCGGGACGGGGCGGACGGGGCGGCGGCGCCGGCGGGGTTCCTGCCGCCGGCGCCGGCGTAGAACGTCGGGGAGGCTGACGAGGAGTAGTAGGGGGCGGGCGGGGCGGAGGCGGCGAGGGAGACGGCGCTCGAGAAGGGGGAGGAGGAGGCGAGGGGCGAGGATGGCGCGCCGCGCTGCGGAGGGTGGTGAGGGGCGGCTGGGTCGCAGTAGGAGGGGCCCTTGCGGCGCACCAGGCCCTTGATGGTGACGGCGACGACGATGTCGAAGATCAGCGCTGGGAGCGCAGGGGCAAGGGCAGGAGCGGGGAGAAGACGCGGACTCTGAGACCCGGTCTCGAGACACCGACCCCTGAGACCCGGTCTCGAGACACCGACCCTGAGACCCGGTCTCAAGTCACCGACCCTGAGACCCGGTCTCAAGACACCGACCCCTGAGACCCGGTCTCAAGACACTGACCCTGAGACCCGGTCTCAAGTCACCGACCTTGAGACCCGGTCTCAAGACACTGACCCTGAGACCCGGTCTCAAGATACTGACCCTGAGACCTGGTCTCAAGTCACTGACCCCGAGACCCGGTCTCAAGACACTGACCCTGAGACCCGGTCTCAAGTCACCGACCCTGAGACCCGGTCTCAAGATACTGACCCTGAGACCCGGTCTCAAGTCACCGACCCTGAGACCCGGTCTCAAGTCACCGACCCCTGAGACCCGGTCTCAAGACACCGACCCTGAGACCCGGTCTCAAGTCACCGACCCTGAGACCCGGTCTCAAGTCACCCACCCTGAGACCCGGTCTCAAGTCACCGACCCCTGAGACCCGGTCTCAAGACACTGACCCTGAGACCCGGTCTCAAGATACTGACCCTGAGACCCGGTCTCAAGATACTGACCCCGAGACCCGGTCTCAAGATACTGACCCTGAGACCCGGTCTCAAGACACTGACCCTGAGACCCGGTCTCAAGACACTGACCCTGAGACCCGGTCTCAAGATACTGACCCTGAGACCCGGTCTCAAGACACTGACCCTGAGACCCGGTCTCAAGTCACCGACCCTGAGACCTGGTCTCAAGTCACCGACCCTGAGACCCGGTCTCAAGATACTGACCCTGAGACCCGGTCTCAAGTCACCGACCCCTGAGACCCGGTCTCAAGATACTGACCCTGAGACCCGGTCTCAAGTCACCGACCCCTGAGACCCGGTCTCAAGATACTGACCCTGAGACCCGGTCTCAAGTCACCGACCCTGAGACCCGGTCTCAAGTCAGCGACCCTGAGACCTGGTCTCAAGACACTGACCCTGAGACCTGGTCTCAAGTCACCGACCCCTGAGACCCGGTCTCAAGATACTGACCCTGAGACCTGGTCTCAAGTCACTGACCCCGAGACCCGGTCTCAAGTCACCGACCCTGAGACCCGGTCTCAAGACACCGACCCTGAGACCCGGTCTCAAGACACTGACCGAGACCCGTTCTCAAGACACTGACCCTGAGACCCGGTCTCAAGTCACCGACCCTGAGACCCGGTCTCGAGACACCGACCCTGAGACCCGGTCTCAAGACACCGACCCTGAGACCCGGTCTCAAGACACCGACCCTGAGACCCGGTCTCAAGTCACCGACCCTGAGACCCGGTCTCAAGACACTGACCCTGAGACCCGGTCTCAAGACACTGACCCTGAGACCCGGTCTCAAGACATTGACCCCGAGATCCGGTCTCAAGTCACTGACCCTGAGACCCGGTCTCAAGTCACCGACCCCCCTGAGACCCGGTCTCAAGTCACCGACCCTGAGACCCGGTCTCAAGTCACCGACCCTGAGACCCGGTCTCAAGTCACTGACCCCGAGATCCGGTCTCAAGTCACCATGAATGCGGCTCTGGGAGTGATGCAGCAGTGCTAGTGACAGGCACACGCAGACAGAGGGCGGTGGCGTCGAAAACTCTCGCTCCGCCAGGCGAGGTTATTTAGAATCGGCCCGCGGGGCCACGTGACCACGTGACCCTCACCACCCACCACCACCTCCCCACTGCCAACGCCAACCCCAAAAATATCCGCCCAGCTCTCGAAAACGTAACGGGCGACGACGAAAATAACGCAGTCCTGGACCCGGTGTTCTGGCCTGGTTGTTTTGCCGCCACCATGACTGCTGCTGCTGCTGTTGCTGTTTGAGTGACGATTTTATATACACACACACGCGCACATTCGTATTTTTGGTATTATATTACGATTATTTATGTTGTTCTACTATGAGACATCTCCTTTACCAGTGGCAAAATATAGTAGTAGGTTTTTACCCTTTCAACTGGTACAAAAACTGACACCTTTATACAAGGCATCATGTTTGCAATAACCACAACACAAGCAGTAAAATGCAAACAAAAAGAACCAACTCTGATGATGATAATGATATGTACTGCCCTCTAAGAAAAGCTGTCTCAGGTGTGGACCAATCAACTTCAAGGGCAGTGCATATCATTATCATCATCAGAGTTGTTTCTTTTTGTTTGTATTTGACTGCTTGTGTTGTGGTTATTGCAAACATGATGCCTTGTATAAAGGTGTCAGTTTTTGTACCAGTTGAAAGGGTAAAAACCTATCACTATATTTTGCCACTGGTAAAAGATGTCTCATAGTGTAAATGCTTCACCTCGAGCTCTCATACTCTGATAGTGCGCTGTTTTTGAGTTGTGCGCCTTTTGGCGTCATCTGGTCCAACACCAATGGAGACTAGGCTCTAAGAAAAGCTGTCTCGGGTGTGGACCAATCAACTTCAAGGGCAGTGCATATCATTATCATCATCAGAGTTGTTTCTTTTTGTTTGCATTTGACTGCTTGTGTTGTGGTTATTGATCCCTTGTACAAAGGTGTCAGTTTTTGTACCAGTTGAAAGGGTAAAAACCTACTACTATCTTTATGTTGCGGGGGCGGGATGGCTGTATACAGGTGCTAGAGGCTGAGTGGGTGTGTTTATGTAAAAATGGGCGGGGACATGATAATAAGGGGAGGGGCTGCCAGCTTCACCGTCATCACCACCGTCGTCATCACCGTCACCGCCGTCATCATCACTGTACATCATCGTCACCACCGTCGTCACCACCGCCGTCATCGTCGTCACCACCATTACCACCATCGTCATCACCGTCGTCATCAACGTCACCACCACCGTCATCACCACCGATGTCACCACCGCCGTCATCACCGTCGTCACCACCATCGTCATCACCGTCACCACCATCGTCATCACCGTCACCACCATCGTAACCGTCGTCACCACCATCGTCATCTCCATCACCACCGATGTCACCACCGTCGTCATCACCGTCGTCACCACCATCGTCATCACCGTCACCACCGATGTCATCACCGTCGTCATCACCGTCGTCACCACCATCGTCATCACCGTCATCACCGATGTCACCACCATCGTCATCACCGTCACCACCGATGTCATCACCGTCGTCATCACCGTCATCACCGTCGTCACCACCATCGTCACGACCGTCGTCATCACCATCGTCATCACCGTCATCACCACCGTCGTCACCACCGATGTCATCACCGTCGTCATCACCGTCATCACCGTCGTCACCACCATCGTCACCACCGTCATCACCGATGTCACCACCATCGTCACCACCGTCATCATCACCATCATCATCGTCACCACCGTCGTCACCACCGTCGTCACCACCATCGTCATCACCATCACCACCGATGTCACCACCATCGTCATCACCGTCATCACCGATGTCACCACCATCGTCATCACCGTCACCACCGATGTCATCACCGTCGTCATCACCGTCGTCACCACCATCGTCACGACCGTCGTCATCACCATCGTCATCACCGTCATCACCACCGTCGTCACCACCGATGTCATCACCGTCGTCATCACCGTCATCACCGTCGTCACCACCATCGTCACGACCGTCGTCATCACCATCGTCATCACCGTCATCACCACCGTCGTCACCACCGATGTCATCACCGTCGTCATCACCGTCATCACCGTCGTCACCACCATCGTCACCACCGTCATCACCGATGTCACCACCATCGTCACCACCGTCATCATCACCATCATCATCGTCACCACCGTCGTCACCACCGTCGTCACCACCATCGTCATCACCATCGTCACCATCGTCACCACCGTCGTCACCACCGTCATCACCGTCGTCACCGCCGCCACCAGCTCACCCAGCAGTAGGTTGAGCAAGACTTCCCTCCCGGCCGCTGAGTCGCTCTGCCAGAGGCAGTAGGCGGTCCCCCCGACCCAGGCCGCTCCGTGTCCCGTCAACCCCAGCACCCGAAGCATCTGTCGAGAGCCACACCACGCGACCAGGCCGCGAGATGCGCTCAGGTCCACCGCCACCAGTGACCTGCATGCGGAAAACACAAGCGGCGGGGCTGCGGTTATGTCAAGTGGAAGAGCAGACAGAGGGGATGTTGGCTATCAACAACAAGGCAACTCCTATGACTAATTGGGAATGGGACGCAAGCGTAGGATTGATCACCCTGTCGCTGGCCGCCTTTGGGGAGGGTGTATAGTGTGAAAGGCCGAAACACCCTAGGAACCAAAGGTACACTACTGACGATGCGCTCCCCAAATTTCACCAGGCTCGCTGTTCATGAACTCTTGGAAGTGCTTGCACACTGGATAGTAACATCTCATCCTGTGTTCTTTGGAATCTGTGTGGGTCTCTGTGTAAGTCTCTGTGGGTGTCTCTGTAAGTCTGTGTGGGTCTCTGTGTAAGTCTTTGTGGGTCTCTGTGTAAGTCTGTGTGGGTCTCTGTGTAAGTCTGTGTGGGTCTCTGTGTAAGTCTCTGTGGGTCTCTGTGTAAGTCTCTGTGGGTCTCTATGTAAGTCTGTGTGGGTTTCTGTGTAAGTCTCTGTGGGTCTCTGTGTAAGTCTCTGTGGGTCTCTGTGTAAGTCTCTGTGGGTCTCTATGTAAGTCTGTGTAAGTCTGTGTGGGTCTCTATGTAAGTTGGCTATCAACAACAAGGCAACTCTTATGACTAATTGGGAATGGGACGCAAGTGTAGGATTGATCACCCTGTCGCTGGCCGCCTTTGGGGAGGGTGTATAGTGTGAAAGGCCGAAACACCCTAGGAACCAAAGGTTCACTACTGACGATGCGCTCCCCAAATTTCACCAGGCTCACTGTTCATGAACTCTTGGAAGTGCTTGCACAAAGGATAGTAACATCTCATCCTGTGTTCTTGGAATCAGAGGCAACGTCACAAGCATTAAGGACCTGCATGTGGAAAACACATACATCGGGGCTGTGGTGATGATGATGATGATGAAGGGGAAAAGCAGACAGAGGCAATCGGGGACCTGCATGTGGATGACATCAAGAGGATCGGCGTCTTCAAAGCAACCAATCACCATCGCCTCCTCCACAACCATCATCGCCTCCACCACAAACTCCGATCACCACCATCACAACCACCACCAAACCATCTCGTCCACAACCATCACCCCATCCGTCATATACAGTACCACTATCACAATCACTGTCGTCATCACCAACATCAATCACTTCCACCATCACCACCTCCACACCTTCGCCACCACCGCTGTCACCACCGCTGTCACCACCACCATCATCACTTCCTCATCATCTCCACCAGCACCATCATCATCACCCCCTCCTCACCATCACCAACGCCACACCAGTGTCCACCAATCAATAATTATACACATCAATCACCTCATTATATCCACCACCGTCATTATCATCATCACCTCCTCACAATCTCCACCATTAATTTGCACCACCACCATCACCTCCTCCACCACCACCATCATCACCACCACCATCATCCACCATCACTTCCACCACCACCACCATCATCACCACCACCATCACCACCACAATCACCTCCACCACCACCTCCACCACCACCATCACCTCCACCACCACCACCATCAACCACCTCCTCCATCATCACCCCCTCCTCACCATCACCAACACCAGTCTCCACCATCAATCACCTCCTTATCATCTCCACCATTAACAATTTCCACCACCACTACCACCTCCACCACCTCCACCACCATCACCACCTCCACCACCACCACCACCTCCACCACCACCACCTCCACCACCACCACCACCACCACCTCCACCACCACCACCACCATGGTCACCTCCACCACCATCACCACCACCACCTCCACCACTACCATCACCACCTCCACCACCACCTCCACCACCATCACCACCACCATCAACCACCTCCTCCATCATCACCCCCTCCTCACCATCACCAACACCAGTCTCCACCATCAATCACCTCCTTATCATCTCCACCATTAACAATTTCCACCACCACTACCACCTCCACCACCTCCACCACCATCACCACCTCCACCACCACCACCACCTCCACCACCACCACCTCCACCACCACCACCACCACCTCCACCACCACCACCACCATGGTCACCTCCACCACCATCACCACCACCACCTCCACCACTACCATCACCACCTCCACCACCACCTCCACCACCATCACCACCACCACCACCACTACCATCACCACCACCACCACCACCACCTCCATCACCACCACCATCACCACCACCACCTCCACTACCACCATCACCACCATCACCACCACCATCACCTCCACCACCACCACCACCACCTCCACCACCATCACCACCACCATCACCACCACCACCATCACCTCCACCACCACCACCACCACCACCTCCACCACCACCACCACCACCTCCACCATGACCACCACCACCACCTCCACCACCACCACCTCCACTACCACCACCACCACCACCATCACCTCCACCTCCACCACCACCTTCACCACCACCACCATCACCCCCACCTCCACCACCATCACCACCACCACTACCACCATCACCACCTCCACCACCACCACCACCACCACCTCCACCACTACCACCACCACCTCCACCACCACCACCATCACCATCACCACCTCCACCTCCACCACCACCACCATCACCTCCACCACCACCACCTCCACCACCTCCACCACCTCCACCACCTCCACCATCACCACCACCACCACCACCTCCACCATCACCTCCACCATCACCACCACGAGTACCTCCACCACCATCACCTCCACTCACCACCACCACCTCCACCACCACCACCATCATCATCACCACCACCACCACCATCACCACCACCATCACCACCACCACCACCTCCACCACCACCACCTCCACCACCACCATCACCACCACCACCTCCACCACCACCACCTCCACCACCACCATCACCACCACCTCCACCACCACCATCACCACCACCACCACCACCTCCATCACCACGTCCACCTCCACCACCTCCACTCACCACCACCACCACCTCCACCACCACCACCTCCACTACCTCCACCACCATCACTACCACCACCACCTCCACCACCACCACCTCCACCATCACCACCTCCACCACCTCCACCATCACCACCACCTCCACCACCACCATCACCACCTCCACCACCTCCACCACCACCACCATCACCACTTCCACTCACCTCCACCACCATCACCACCACCACCTCCACCACCACCATCACCACCTCCACCACCTCCACCACCACCACCATCACCACCTCCACTCACCACCATCACCACCACCTCCACTTACCACCACCTCCATCACCACCAACATCACCACCACATCCACCACCATCACCACCACCACCTCAACCATCACCTCCACCATCACCACCACCATCACCTCCACCACCACCTTCATCACCACCTCCACCTCCACCACCTCCACCACCACCTCCACCACCACCACCTCCACCATCACCACCTCCACCACCACCCCCACTACCACCTCCACCACCACCATCACCACCACCATCACCTCCACCATCACCACCACCTCCACCACCTCCATCACCACCACCACCTCCACCACCACCACCACCACCTCCACCATCACCACCACCACCTCCACCACCATCACCTCCACCACCACCTCCACCACCACCTCCACTACCACCTCCACCACCTCCACCACCACCACTACCTCCACCACCACCTCCACCACCACCTCCTCCACCACCACCTCCACCTCCACCATCTCCACCATCACCACCACCACCACCTCCACCACCACCACCTCCACCACCACGTCCACCTCCACCACCTCCACTCACCACCACCATCACCACCACCTCCAACATCACCACCACCTCCACCACCATCACCACCACCACCACCTCCACCACCACCACCTTCACCACCTCCATCACCACCTCCACCACCTCCACCATCACCACCTCCACCACCTCCACGATCACCACCTCCACCACCTCCACCTCCATCACCTCCACCACCACCACCACCTCCACTCACCACCACCACCATCACCACCACCTCCACTCACCACCACCATCACCACCACCTCCACTCACCACCACCTCCATCACCACCAACATCACCACCACCTCCACTCACCACCACCACCTCCACTCACCACCACCTCCACCACCACCATCACCACCTCCACCACCACCTCCACCACCACCACCATTACCACCTCCACCACCATCACCACCTCCACCACACCCACCACCTCCACCACCACCTCCACCACCACCATCACCACCTCCACCACCACCTCCACCACCACCTCCATCACCACCACCACCACCATCACCACCTCCACTACCACCACCTCCACCACCACCTCCACCACCACCACCTCCACCACCACCTCCACCTCCACCACCACCTCCACCACCACCACCACCACGGTCACCTGAAGGCGATGCCACGGAGGGAGGGGTTAAGCCTCATGCAGTCCGACTCGGGCAGGTTCATTGACTCTCTCCTCGCTGCCAGATGCTCTGTACCACGTGGTGCTGCTCCTTTCTGCTGCTGCTGCTGGTTCAGCTGCTGGAGGTGGTTCAGGTGGTTGAGGTGGTGCTGGTGGTGGTGGTGCTGCTGGTGGTTGTGGTTGTTGTTGTTGCTGGTGGTGGTCCGAGCCGTCGCTTGCACCAGCAGAGACATGAACTCGGGTCTCAGCTCCGGCACAGCGCGACCGTGTCTCAGCCGCTGGCGAGACGAGAAGCTGGCCATGGCGTGGCCGTGTCTGTCTGTGTGTGTCTGTCTAGGTGTGTGTGTGTGTGTGTCTGTGTGTATGTCTGTGTGTGTGTGTCTGTGTGTCTGTCTAGGTGTGTGTGTGTCTGTGTGTATGTCTGTGTGTGTGTATCTGTCTGTGTGTGTCTGTCTAGGTGTGTGTGTGTGGCTACGTGTGTGTGTCTGTGTCTGTCTGTGTGTGGCTAGGTGTGTGTGTGTGTGTGTCTGTGTGTGTCTGTGTGTCTGTGTGTGTGTGGCTAGGTGTGTGTGTGTGTGTCTGTGTTGCAAGGTGTGTCTGTGTGTGTTGCTAGGTGTGTCTGTGTCTGTCTGTGTGTCTAGGTGTGCGTGTGTCTATGTGTGTGTCTAGGTGTGTCTGTGTGTGTGTCTAGGTGTGTGTCTGTCTATGTGTGTGTCTAGGTGTGTCTGTGTGTGTTGCTAGGTGTGTCTGTGTGTGTGTGTCTGTGTGTGTTGCTAGGTGTGTCTGTGTGTGTGTTGCTAGGTGTGTCTGTGTGTGTCTAGGTGTGTCTGTGCGTGTCTGTGTTGCTAGGTGTGTCTGTGTGTGTCTAGGTGTGTCTGTGTGTGTCTGTGTTGCTAGGTGTGTCTGTGTGTTGCTAGGTGTGTCTGTGTGTGTCTGTCTGTGTGTCTAGGTGTGTCTGTGTGTGTCTGTCTGTGTGTCTAGGTGTGTCTGTGGGTGTGTGTGTCTGTGTTGCTAGGTGTGTCTGTGTGTGTCTGTGTGTGTTGCTAGGTGTGTCTGTGGGTGTGTGTGGGTGTCTGTGTGTGTCAAGTGATATTAATGTCGATGTCTGTGTGTGTGTGTCTGTCCAAAATTTCGTGTCTTTGTGGGTGTGTAAATGGGTGTATGCCGTCTGCCTGTCTGCACTTTTCTGTCTCTCTGTCTCTTATCAGTCTACATATCTGGATGGTCTTGCCTGTCCCTTATCCTCTCTGTGTCTCCCCTATCCTTGTGTGTCTCTGTGTCTCCCCTTGTCTCTGTCTCGCAGTGTCTGTCTCGCAGTGTCTCTCTCCCTGTCTCTCTCCCCGTGTCTCTCTCTCTGTGTCTCTCTCCCCGTGTCTCTCTCTCCCCGTGTCTCTCTCCCCGTGTCTCTCTCTGTGTCTCTCTCCCCGTGTCTCTCTCCCCTCGTGTCTCTCTCTCTCTCTGTCTCTCCCCCCGTGTCTCTCTCTCCGCGTGTCTCTCTCCCCCCGTGTCTCTCTCCCCCCGTGTCTCTCTCTCCCCCCGTGTCTCTCTCCCCGTGTCTCTCTCTGTGTCTCTCACCCCGTGTCTCTCTCCCCGTGCCTCTCTCTCCTCGTGTCTCTCCCCGTGTGTCTCTCTCCCCGTGTCTCTCTCTGTGTCTCTCTCCCCGTGTCTCTCTCTCCGTGTCTCTCTCTCTCCGTGTCTCTCCCCCCGTGTCTCTCTCTCCCCGTGTCTCTCCCCTCGTGTCTCTCTCTCCCCGTGTCTCTCTCCCCCCGTGTCTCTCTCTCCCCGTGTCTCTCTCTCCCCCCCGTGTCTCTCTCCCCCCGTGTCTCTCTCTCCGCGTGTCTCTCTCCCCCCCGTGTCTCTCTCCCCCCCGTGTCTCTCTCTCTTTGTCTCTCTCCCCCGTGTCTCTCCCCCCGTGTCTCTCTCTGTGTCTCTCTCCCCCCGTGTCTCTCTCCCCCCGTGTCTCTCTCTCTCCGCGTGTCTCTCTCTCCCCGTGTCTCAGTGTCTCCCCGAGCCTCCAAATGAAACAGCTGGTGTTGATGTTGGAATCGATTCCACGCGCCAGGAATCGAACGCGTCGATTGCAGCTTCGTCGAATTCTCACAATATTAAAGTTCTTCTTGGTTCTTTCGGTAAAGTCACGTAGAAGGGAAGTAATAAAATAATAAAAATAAAACATAATAAAATAATTCTCACGACGTTTCGGCTACAACGCAAGCAGCCGTCTTCAGGTGAAGAATGAGACACTGCCAAGCTAGGAGCTTATGTATAAGCTGCGTTGGAGGTGGAAGAAGAGCGCCTTAACAAAAAGAATGTGCATATTAAAAAAATATATATTAAAGTTCCTTTCTGGAACCTGTGGCTCTAATCATGGCCATGGAATTCGCATCATGACATCCACAACCAACACTGCAGGTCACAACAACAACACCCACTTAAATTTCGATTTAAAGCTTTCGTGACTGCAGGGATTCATCGTCTTGGTTCTTTCGGTGAAATCACGTGGAAGGGAAATAATAAAATAATAAAAATAAAACATAATAAAATTTCGATTTAAAGCTTCTTTCGTGACTGCAGGGATTCATCTTCTTGGTTCTTTCGGTAAAGTCATCACGTAGAAGGGAAATAATAAAATAATAAAAAATAAAAGATAATAAAATACAATTCTCACGACGTTTCGGCCACAACGCAAGCAGCCGTCCTCAGGTGAAGAACAGGTCTGTCGGAAAGACAGCGTCTGAATGAAACACCACCAAGCTTGGCAGCGTATATTTAAGCTGGGTTAGGGGAGGAAGGGCGCCTTGACAAAGAAATTTACATATCAACAGAGGAATTTAGCGTATTTATGCAAAATGCAGATATGGGATTAGTCACTACTTGTGGAATGCGTAGGAGGTGAGGGGGGGGGGGTCTCAAAGTCATATTATGCCCGTGCATTATGTAGGATTAGCAGCAACACAGGGAGGAGGTAGAGTTAGCTGAAGAGTTGGTCAGCAACCATTGATCGAGGGTCGAATTCGATCCGCGTTGTGTGATCGATATCGTGCTCGCTGAAGGTGTTGATGCCTTCAGGAAAATCGTGGACTCTGTATACGCAACTGCGAACAATTCTGTGAGTCGCTTATAAATGCTTTAGATTTGAAGCTTTCGTGACTGCAAGGATTCATACTCTTAGGTTTTTTCGGTAAAGTCATGAAGGTAAAAAAATAAAATTAATAAAAGTAAAATAAAAAAATCACGACGTTTGCTTGATACAGCAATCGAGCTGTGACGGTTCCACCTGAAGACGGAAGCTTGTGTTGCCTCCGAAACGTCGTGATTTTTTATTTAACTTTTATTAAAAAAAAATTTTACCTACGTGACTTTACCGAAAAAACCTAAGAGTATAAATGCTTTGCCGTTACTTATCGCCAATTATGGACTCAGACTATTGTGCTATCATCTCACAGAGTCCCTGGCCACGTGATAATATTCTGCTACACGGTGGTAGTAGGGGTTCGTAAAATGCCGATTTATCACTAATAAACCCCAATGATCCGATCGAAATGAGGGATTTTCATGGGATCATGGGGGGGGGGGTCACGTGCCACCCCACCATCTATCGAAATGAGGGATTTTTATGGGATCATGGGGGGGGGAGGGGTCACGTGCTACCCCACCATCTATCGAAATTAGGGATTTTTTATGGGATCATGGGGGGGGGGGGGGGGGTCACGTGTCACCCCAGCATCTATCGAAATTAGGGATTTTGATGGGATCATGGGGGGGGGGGGAGGGTCACGTGTCACCCCACCATCTATCGAAATTAAGGATTTTTATGGGATCATGGGGGGAGGGGGGCACGTGCCACCCCACCATCTATCGAAATTAGGGATTTTTATGGGATCATGGGGGGGGGGGGGGTCACGTGTCACCCCACCAATTATCGAAATTAAGGATTTTTATGGGATCATGGGGGGGGGGGGGGTCACGTGTCACCCCACCAATTATCGAAATTAGGGATTTTTATGGGATCATGGGGGGAGGGGGTCACGTGCTACCCCACCATCTATCGAAATTAAGGATTTTTATGGGATCATGGGGGGAGGGGGGCACGTGTCACCCCACCAATTATCGAAATTAGGGATTTTGATGGGATCATGGGGGGGAGTGGGTCACGTGTCACCCCACCAATTATCGAAATTAGGGATTTTGATGGGATCATGGGGGGGAGGGGGGTCACGTGTCACCCCACCATCTATCGATCTATCGAAATTATGGATTTCGATCGGATCATTGGGTGTGGGTGGCCAGCAACCACGCCTGCCATTCTCTCGTGGCGATGTTGACACCGCTACACCAACAACAACAAGCCGCCATTCGCCACTAAGTGGCGGTGACGTCTAACCACGTCGCTTGTGCCAGGCTAGGTGCACGTTGAGACCACGTGGCCCTCCTAGCCCCCCGGATAGAAGGGCACAGGGCAGACCGAGGTGGTGACCACACACGGGGTCGACTGACCGAGATGACTTTTGGGCCCGTCACCCCCCCCCCCCCCATTCCGCGTTCGTATGGCCGGGGCCAAGTCCATCCATCCGTATCCTCCTAACCTAAAGTTGGAGGCAGACTCAACGTTGTAAAACCGCTCGTCGATTCCGGGGGGGTTGGAATCGACGTTGGAATCGAATCGAAATCCGATCTTCGAACGTCGTTCCAGGTTCTAATTTTAGCCTCCGGCCGGGAAAGGCGCCCCTCGAGTTTTTTATTTTACAATCGCGTTTCTTTTTCTTCTTCTCTCTCTGTGTGTTTGCCTTTCTTCGCGCGCCAGCCACCGTACGCACCTGTCGCGGTGACGTCATTATGTCACCGGGAGCGATTGTGACGTCATCGGGTTTTTTTTGTTATTTTACTTGGAGGGATGGTGACGTCATCGAGTTTTTGTTGTTATTTTACTTGGAGGGATGGTGACGTAATCGAGTTTTTTTTTGTTATTTTACTTGGAGGGATTGCAACGTCATTGTTGTTTTTTTTTACTGGGAGGGATGGTGACGTCATCAGGGATTTTGTTATTTTACTTGGATGGATTGCAACGTCATTGTTGTTTTTTTTTACTGGGAGGGATGATGACGTCATAAGGTTTTTTTTGTTATTTTACTTGGAGGGATTGCAACGTCATTGTTGTTATTGTTTTTTTACTGGGAGGGATGGTGACGTCATCGGTTTTTTTGTTATTTTACTTGGAGGGATTGCAACGTCATTGTTGTTTTTTACTGGGAGGGATGGTGACGTCATCGGTTTTTTTTGTTATTTTACTTGGAGGGATTGCAACGTCATTGTTATCTTTTTTTACTGGGAGGGGTGGTGACGTCATCGTTTTTTTTTTATTTTACTTGGAGGGATTGCAACGTCATTGTTGTTGTTTTTACTGGGAGGGATGGTGACGTCATCAGGGTTTTTGTTATTTTACTTGGAGGGATTGCAACGTCATTGTTGTTGTTTTTTTGCTGGGAGGGATGGTGACGTCATCAGGGTTTTTGTTATTTTACTTGGAGGGATTGCAACGTCATTGTTATTTTTTTTTACTGGGAGGGATGGTGACGCCATCGGGTTTTTTTGTTATTTTACTTGGAGGGATTGCAACGTCATTGTTGTTATTTTTTACTGGGAGGGATGGTGACGTCACTACTTTTTAGCGGGAGGTATTGAACGTCACAATTTTACTGGTAGGAACCTCCTGGTTACACCAGCCCACAGGGGATTATTGTGTCCGTCGTGATGGGAGGGGCTGGGTGGGGAGGGGCTGGGTGGGGAGGGAGGGGCTGAGTGGGGAGGGGCTGGGTGGGGAGGGGCTGGGTGGGGAGGGGCTGGGTGGGGAGAGGAGGGTGGGGAGGGGCTGGGTGGGGAGGGAGGGGCTGGGTGGGGTGGGGAGGGTAGGGAGGGGCTGGGTGGGGAGGGTGGGGAGGGGCTGGGTGGGGAGAGGAGGGTGGGGAGGGAGGGGCTGGGTGGGGAGGGTGGGGAGGGAGGGGCTGGGTGGGGTGGGGAGGGTAGGGAGGGGCTGGGTGGGGAGGGGCTGGGTGAGGAGGGTGTAGTGGGGCTGGGTCTTGGGTGGGAGGGGTGGGGCTGGGTGGGAAGGGGCTGGTCACCCCGTGGTGCCCTTATAAAACTCAACGTTTAACCTACTCACGCCGGCTTGTGCCCGCCCTCACAGCCGGGCATATTTGCGGAATACACCACGCCGCCGTTGACCCTGCAGGCCATTGACCGAGCAACCCGACGTTCCTACCAGCTCCCTCCGCAGGACAGTGTGTTTTTACTGGGAAGTATTGTTACGTCATTATTTTTTGCCGGGAGGGATTGAGAGGCAATTATAGTTTTTTTACCGGGAGGGATTGTAACGCCATTACTTTGTTACAGGGAGGTATTGTGACGTCATATTTTTTTTACTGGGAGAACTTGTGACGTCATCACGCTCTTCCTGCGTCACCAACACCGGCGTGACGTAACTATCGGCCGTGATGACGTCATTTGGCGGTTTCTTTTG